GTGCACGAGCTTCAGACTTCAGCGTTGGCTGCGATTTTGAAGCTGAAATCGCGTTCGGTGTGAACGCACCTTAAGGGTAGCATTAGCATTGTAAGTAAACATTAGCTTTTCTTTTTTTCAGTTAAGAGGTTTTTATTTAATAGAATTTTTGGACAAAAAAAATCGCAATATATCGCAATATATTGCCTTGCTTACAGTATCGCAATATATCGGGATACATCGTATCTTGACCCCTCTGTTATAATATGTATCGTATCGCCAAATTCTTGCCAATACACAGCCCTAATGGAAAGTGAGATTTTCTGCAGTTATTGGCACATAAAATTGCAAAGAAACTTGAGATTCAGGGCTGTTAGCAGGAATTTTTCATCAGAACAGAAAACTGTTGAGAACTGCCAAGAATTGACATGGACTTCGCCCCCCTCTCCTCAGGTCTAGGTGAGGCTTTCACATGTAAAAAAGTTGGTGTGAGATATACAAATCAGACTCCCCACTGACTCGTTGACTCCTGTTTAGATTTTAACAGTAGTCGTGTTTCCATCCAATTCTAACTGGAATTTTGAGTGAATTTTAAAATTTTTGCAAAGAGGAAAGAACAAATAAATGCGAATCAGACGTGTTTCCAGCAACTGGCTTGAAGTGAAGTTACGTCAGACACATGCGTGTAGTATACAGGAAGTAAAAGTCTCATCTCAGGAAAATGGAGGGMATTCATCAGGAATAAGTTGCTACTATCGGGAAAGTTGTACTTATTCTGTCATATCAACTACCGTATTTTTCGGACTATAAGCCGCGACTTTTTTCCTGAACTTTGAACCATGCGGCTTATAGTCCGGTGCGGCTTATACATGGATTATTTTCTTCAGCCACCAGGGGGCTCTTATGCTGCATTTGCTTCAACCACTTGCTTCAAAAGAAGAAGAAAAAGAAGAAAAAAGTGATCACTTCCAGAGCCGACTGTTGTACCAGGAAGCAGCGATTTAAAGATAGTCAATGGCCAAAAACTCATAAAAGGGGATAAAACAGACATTTTTCACGGTGGAATCTGACTGATAAAAAACTTTGGAGCTTAATCCAGGACCAGTTTGTGGATAAACGTCGAGTGAAGAGCTGCTGACTTTTTTTCCTCACTGCACTCCCCGGGGAAGGAATCCCATGCAGTGACGTATGATGGAGCAGGAGGGCTTTCCCAGCACAGCTTCAGAGCCAGCATTACCCTGGGAGGACAACAGATACCACTGTGTGACGCAGCTTTTCTCAGCTTGTTTAACTCCGACACTGAAGAGGACTTCGATGGTTTCAGTGCACCGGAGGAAGATGAATGAGACGTTTTGTTGGACCAGAAACTGTTAAAGAAAACTACCAAAATAAGGTCAGTTAAATGAACCGTATTCCTCCGAACTTTAATTCCTAAAGGTTTTGCTTTTTATGTTTTGATGTTGAATTCACTTTTGTTGACGACAAATTTGAGTGTACTGGGTTTTTTTATGTTGGGGGTGCGGCTTATAGTCCGAAAAATACGGTAGTTCTGGCAATATTACATGCTTGGAGACGTAGAGAAAGAAATGCAATTCTTTTCACGTTACGGGAATAACAGAATACGCTGACAGCAGGAGGARAATCCAGCTGCAGTCACTCTGGTACCGGTACYGGACAGAGAGCGGGAACAGCTGATTAACATGTGAGGTAAATGTTCGCTTCGTCAGAACTGATTCGGTAAATGTGTTTCCATCTGTCCTTTTTTGTGCATCAACTCTTTTTCGAAAAAACCAAAAACCATCTCAAGTGAGCGTATCAACTTTTATGTGAATTAGAGGAAGTTTTTTCAAATCAAGCCGTTTCCATTCACCTTTTCTGATGTGATACTTCAAAAAGCTCATTAAAAAACATTGATGGAAACAGGGCTAAAGCTATGTTCACACCAAACGTGTTTTGAGCAGCAAAAAAGCACCCAATGCCTCCAGTTGGACGCACTATGTTCAGACCGGGACAGAGACCAGATGCACGTCTAAAGAAGGAGGAGCGTCTTGGTTTTTCTCTGGTCTATCTTCGGTGGATGAAATAAAGATAAATAAAGAAAATGGCTTTGCTTTATTTAATAAAGAGCAACTGAACGTTGCGCACAGCAGATGATTAATTCACCAGATAATTTAGAGGCAGTTTGTTTGGTTAGTTTCACTCCAGGAGCTGCAAGATGACGAACGTCCCGAGCCCAGTTTAACACCGCGATCATTTCAATGAGCTGCTGACCCACATCGGTGCTGATTTCTCCAGCCAAAACACCAACTGCAGATGGTCCATTTCAGCTAAAGGCTCCTGTTTCAGGTTAGTGGGCAACATTCAGGAAACAGTCACATGGAAAAATGATTCTGTCTGATTGGTTGACGCTGTGCGTCGAGCAGCAAAAGTTCAGATTTTTGAACTCGGGCGTCAGCTGCTTTCGCCGCACCGCATGCACAGTAAATGCTCTGCCGCACCTTCCGCATTCCTTGTGCACCGCGCTAAACGGACCTGACACGCCGCGACACCCCTAGAGACGCGTCCACCGTAGACTTTGCATGTAAACTGGCTGCTCCCGCAGCTCAAAACACGTTCGGTGCGAATCCACCATAATGACTTGTTGATGCAAGACTACTAAAGTAATATTTTTTTTATAAAGAGATTGACATTCTTTTTAATCTTAAACCTTTTTCCATTAAAATATGTGACTACTAGAAATGTGCGATATAAACGACATACAAGTAGAAACGATATAAATTTGTCCTATGATAGAGATCTGTAGTCTACCGGCCAACCGCGCAATTCTTTTTGATGACGTAACCAGGTGGAGTCAAAACAGAGGAAGCAGGAAGCAGCCTGGCTGAGAGCGCAAATGAAGAGGGGAAATAAAAACATAACTTATCCAGACCAGGTTCAGGTGTGCGAAAATAAACGCCGAACTGTTTACATGTTTACGTGACGGCGCGCCTGCAGCGGGAGGAGCGCGCGCTGCGGCACATGGTGACGCAGCGAGGCGACAAGTCAGTGCAGGTGAAGTCAGTGCAGGTGAAATCAGTGCTCAGGTGAAGTCAGGGCTCAGGTGAAGTCAGTGCAGGTGAAGTCAGTGCAGGTGAAGTCAGTGCAGGTGAAGTCAGTGCAGGTGAGGACGCACAAAAGCTCTCTGAGTCTGGACCTCGTTTCTCCTGCGGTCATAGCGCAGGACTGTCTCCTTGTACAGCGGGGAAGAGCTGTGGGAAAGGCTGAGTCAGACTGTCTTTTAAAAAAAAAAACGGGATGATTGTCACCCCACTGGAGCGCGCAAAGATTAAACACGTGGAGTGCAGAAAAAATAATCTGCAAAGTGTGTAGAAAGGAATAAATTTTATATGTGTGTGTGTGTTTTTAAATTAATTTCTTTTTAGAGATGGTAAATATTTATTTTATTATATTACAATGAAGTATTTTAAGTTACATCCCCGCACATGTGCATTCACAGCACACTAAAACAAAAATATTAATAAATTCTTATTGCTGTGTACAAGTGTCATTGTGTGAAAGAGAAATAAATTCAAAGGAACAAACATATTTCGTTATTAAATATAAAATTAAATTTACTTATTTTTTATTCAAACATATTTTTAATTATTTTTTACCCTGTCTGAATTTCCTGTCACTTTACTGATGATGCACCTGAATTTCTCCAGCGAGGGACAATAAGGACATTTTCTAAATAATTCATTAATTTTTTTTATTAATATTCCAGACCATACATCTGTCTTTCTTAAAGAGACAGTGTCTTATCATAACTACAGCTCTGCAATTTGTAATAAACCAAATCGTGTGAAAAAATTTGTAGAGTTACGATTATTTTAGTTGGGCTAACAGCTTCCTCGGTACAAAAGATGCAAAAGAGACCCGTCCAAGATGGCGGCACGCTGAAACATC